AGATCAACGCGAGTCCCAGAATCAGTCCTCGAGGTTATCAACGGACCGACAGGGACAAACTTGACATTATCAAGAACCGAGCTTAGAGCTTCTGGTTCGAGTTCTTGGAAACTGTTGATGAGGATCTTAGGGTTCTCGTCTTGCTTCAGTGACTCAATCTGTTCTTGAAACGCCGGTAGAAGAAACGCGTAGACGTTGGAAGGGACGATGCACGCAGGAAGATCGCGGAGATATAGCAGTGGCAGAGACGGTAATTTAATAGAACCAGAGGGGTTGTTGTTAGCCATCTCTGAGATTGCCTCTGCGTAGCCGTTGAAGTAATGGTAGAAAATGGAGAAGACGGTTACGGGCTGGACCCAGAGAAGAGCCGAAGGGAGGTGAAACTCACGCGCTAGCTCAGCGACCCAAGTGAGGAGGAGAGTGTAAACCACGCAGGTAAAAGGCCGGTTTTGTTTCCGGTTATCTTCGATAAGTTCGGTTAGTGTTTCTCTGCCACGTCGTCTCATCTCAGAGAGGTATTGTCCGGCGGTGTCTTTGCGAGATTTTTCGGAGGTGGAAGAGAGTTTGAAACCGTCGTCGAGGCCATCGGAGTATTTGGCGAAGATTAGGGTTTCGGGGACGTTTTCAGTGGAGAACATGCGGCGGTTGTAGGAGGAGGTTGATGCGGCGAAAGTGACTCTAGCTCCGATGATGGTTCCGGCGAGGCGTTTGGCGAGCTCGAGAGCTGGGTTGATATGGCCTTGTGCTGGGAACGTGACGAAGAGAAAGTGAGGTGATTTCGAATTATTGTTATCCATTTCTTTCATTTTGGGATGTTATGACTAAAAACATTACACAAGTTTGGATTTATAGAGATTATACGGACACAGATATAATCTAAGTGATAACAAATTAACAATCATTATACTGAAAAGACAAAAAGAGAAACCCTACTTGTGCATTGGACAAAACAATCTTGTGACGTTAGTGATGACGAAAACTTGAAGATAAAATTTCAACAAAAAAGTTGTATTCACAAGTTTGGATTCAGTGGATACGAGCACATGACCATTTTTAGGCCAGCAATATTATATTATTATAAATATATATAATTGCAAGTGACATTAACGAAAGAGAACATTCAAGTTAGGTACGTGAACAAATTGGATTCTATAGCATTATTATATCTGCATCCGGAACAGAAAAAACGATGAACAAATTGACTATTTTAAGAAAAAGAAAAAATTACACAAAGACCGAATTGACTGAGATAGTCTTAAAGTGGCTTTTGATCTTAAGACTATCTCATGATTACGTGAAGTTCATTATTTTTTTTTTCACATGTGATGCTGAGACACAAAGACCAAATCATAATTCTGAGACACAAAGACCGATGCTTAAATACTCATCACCGAAAATCCAAAGATAAAACATTCGACCTTTTGATCTTACAAAGATTTGGATTACGAAAATTCTGACAAATCTTATACTATCTACCGATTTGCATCATTACGGTTTGTTCAAGCCATGTTTTTTTTTTTTTTTTTTTTTTTTTCATTTGTATCTTCCACAATTTTGTTTGCACATAAAGTTTGAAACATGTGAGACATCTCCACTATAAACTCTTTGGAGAAATAAGGATCCAAATCTTTTCACTTTGATTATACCTTCTTAGTGGTGGTTACTTCTTTTTTTTGTCGACATGTTATATAGTTTCGTCGACATGTCTTCATACACTTTGTACAATACAATACTACTAATTGTACGTTCTCTTTATTGTAAATTTTCACAGAAAAATTTGTAGAAGGCTATAGTGATTCATTAAGAGATTTAGTGCTTCTATACTAATAATAGGCTTACGATTTGCTAATAATTTATATAGACTAATGGAGGTAAGCGTACAGGAGGTCTACAGAATGGTGCATGTGGAACTGTCGTGGAGACTTTGAAGACAGTAGAATCGTCAGTAGAATCGTCCGTTGTAAAATTGTCTTGTAAAAGTTCTCATAATTTGTATTAGATTAGTCAGTGTTAAAAAAAAACTTTTCACAGAAAAATAAACCAAATGATAACCATCCACTTCTATATAAGTATAACCACCATATAAGATAAATTAATGAGGACGATTATATATACATTACACACCACCATATAAGATAAACTAATGAGGACGATTATATATACATTACACACCATAACATAATATATATATATATATATAACTATTAAGAAAAGATAATTATAATACACCTCCTTATTATAAATATAGAGAGACATATCGGTCACATAAGAATTATGTGAAGTTCATTATTATTTTTTTCTTCTCTTCATGGCCTTTGAAGTTCCTTCATTCTTCTTATCTTCTCTTTTTTTGATAAAGATCTTCTTATCTTCTCGACTATCATATTTATCTTTCACCATCAGAATTTCTGCTTTCATACCACTCCTTTTTTTCTAGAGTCTTCAACACTTTATCCAGATTAAACTTACCAATGACCGTAACTTTTTGAGCATCAATGTCCGTTATACATTCTTCAACTCCTAATTAAAACATATAATTAGAAAAATAAATACAACATTACTAGCAAATCATATATATCGTGTGTATAATATATATCTCATTTTCTTGCCTTCAACAGCGCAAACAGTTTTCCTAATTTTTTCTTCGGATTTAACACTATCCATCCGAAGCTCCAACTCGGCCTCCACAATAACCCTAGACAATTATTAAGAAGCAAAGAAAGTGTAGAATCGTATAAGAAAATTGTAAAACTCTTATTTAGATGATATATATATATATATATATATATATATGTAGAGGTATAAGACACTCAACGTGTCAAGAGTGTTTCCTCGTGACTTCTTTGATAACCAACCCATCACACTCGATTTTCAAATTAGAAACACTAGAATTAAGAATCTTGTCACCGCAAATCTTATAAAATCTAATACTTTGAAGTCAAAACTAGAAAAATAGATGACATATATAGACAACATTTCACATAAAGAGATTTTTTTAATACAGATCTTAAAATAAAAGTTAAAAGCAAAATTTCTTTGTAAATCTTAAAAAAAAAAATCTCAGATTTCATACCATTAATATTTTTATGTAGTCACCTTTTGTAATTATGAATTATAGATTACACATGTTTTCCTATTTATTGGTATTGATTAAATAGGAAAACATACGTAATCTATAATTCATAATTATATTTATATTGGTATTGATTTCTAATGTTGTTCTTAAAGAAAAATATGTCGTTGTTATTAATTTAACAACTAGTAGAGGATTGCGCAAACGCGCGGTGTGACGTTGCAATTTTGTGAAAAAAATCTTAATTTTAAACCCCAGCTTGATTCAAAAACCCTAATCAAAATTTAAAAAACCCAAACTTTTTTAAAATGTCTAAACCCGAAAATCTGAAATAAAAAAAAATCCCGAAAACCAAATCCGAATCAGAAATTTAGAAAACCTGAACGGTTTTTATATCACTAAAATCTGAAATAACGACGTTAAAATATTGATATGTGTAAGTTTAAGTGTATAATGTCACTTGTTTAATAAATCATATTCAAGGTTTTTACGCCTTGAGTAAATCATATTCAAATTCTAGTGAAGTAACAGAAAATTAGTTAAGAAAGTATATATATTTAATAAGAAAGTAATGATTGATTTTTTTATTTTTATGTTATTATTTTTTAAAGAGAAAGTTTCTTTGTATCCTGGTGGAGGACCCGGCGGAGCCGGTGAGTGTTATAGCAATATTCCGGCAATCATTTCGTTTACTCAGACCGGGATACAAAACCAGTTGGTTCATGACTCTCAACCTTTTATCCCTTGAAAAGGAAACCATTTTTTATATGGACGATCGTAAAAGTACGAAAAATGGTATATATTGCACTAATACACACATATTCATTGAAAACAATTAATTTATGGGGAAATTTTACATTCGTACTTAAATTTTTTTGTCCTAGTTTTTTTTCCGATGTTTTGGATATATTGCTTTGTACAATTTTAATTCCTTGGACTGATCATGAAAATTAAAAGTGTACAAGATCTCCTTTTGTCTCTTCGTACAATAATTCAGTTTGATATTTGGTCGGCAGAGATCCACGGTGAACAGTATAGCACGATAAATTAGATTAGTGCAAAACCAGTCGCAAACATACTTTGGACAGGTTTTGCTCAATATGACCATTAACTTCCAAATGCGAGTTTCAACACATATTTTTTGAACAGTTCTCAAACGATAAGTTTACTACAATTGACTCATTCCGGAAGATTGTTTCTTCTTTTGATTGGGTGAAGGTTATAACTTTGGTGTGAATGTGGATTCGAATCAACTCCTAATGGGCTTGGCCCATACCCAACTGCCATTCCTCTTTGGCCCAAGTCGAAGCCTATCTCCAGCTGAAGTGGCGAAGTCTAACATCTTCTTCCTCTCCGTTTAAAGGACTTCTTCTTCATTTAAAAGACCTGCAACAAGAAACAGAGAGAGGACAACGAGAGAGTTAGTTACAGAGTGAGAAAACAAGAGAATCTAGACTAGAGAGAGAAAGACTTACGTCGAGGTTATCTCTAAAGAGATTTGAGCTGAGGCTCGCTTGTAACGAAGAGTGGTGATTTCCGGTGTATCGGAACCATAAGAGTTTTCCAGCGATAATGAAACGACGGGAGACGTGATTTCTCCTCGAGTGAGTAGGAAATGAACACTGGGTAAACAAAAACCTCTATGTCATTTCCTTTCCTGCACAATTAGATTGAATCCAATTAGCTAGATAAACGATCTAAATCTCTAACATTTGGGATATTGAGATCCCAATAACAACTCAGCTTTAGTTCTAAAGGATACAAGGAAATTAAAATACGAAACAAAGCACATGGGGTTTGCATTCACATCCAAACATCTCCTAGGCTAGGATACTATTTGTTTGGCCTTTTTTAATATGATTAAAATTAGTACTAATTCGTTTTTGGAGTCATTTTCAAACGATATAAAAAAACAAATTGTGGATGCTGAAAACCACACTCGAAATTTATAGGTTTTGCAAGGAAGAAACTTAGGGAGATTTAGGGCTAGATTTTGATGTAAGTCGAATGAATCGTAAGCAAGGATTTGGCTAAACGGAATTGTATTAAACGAATGAAAATGGTTACAATGAATTCTCAGAAGAGAGAAAGAACTAAGCTCAAAGGAAAATACAAGGAAAGTATGATAGTAATTAGGTCTAATGATCGGAAGAAGGTTGTGTCTCCTTGATCCGACTGCTGTCAAGCTCCTTTTATAGCTCCAGAATCAGCTACGATCCACCTCCGCGTATCTCGCCACGTGCAGCTAACGATCCCGGTGATCTCGGACCAGACCGGATTTGAAGGAGATCTTCTTTGACTTCGTCTTTCTTCGCAGTGCCGACCTGGTCCTTGATCGAGCTGGAGCTCGTCTTTACGTCGACCGGAATAGCTCGGATGGCAGTTAACTGGCTTACGAGGGAGTCGCTTGGTGGGCTCGAGGTCTTCTTGCTGGGCTTGAGTGGGCCTGGACTTCAATCTTGGATCAAGGTAATGGGCCCTTACGGGCTAGATTCCAGGTGTGGAATCTGGGTCCAACAATTGCCCCCCAGCCCTTTTAAGTGAGTTTCGAACTTAAAACGGGCGGTTTGTTTTAATTTCAAAAATTCAAACTTTTGCCGGGCTAATTCGAATTCCTCGATTCGGGGTATATTCGAGCTTATCCGCAACGGTTTGAACGGGGTAAAAGATCGCGGGGATCTCGTCGTTGGAAATTGCCTTAGGCATTAAATTTTTTCTTTTCTTCGAGGTGAAGATAAGATCTGGCCGTTGAATCGAGATGAACGGCTGAGATCGCAGAAATCTTGTCAACTCACCAAATCTCGCAAACCGAGCTCCTCGATAACGTATCGCATATTTTCAAGATTCGAAATGATTATGTTTTCGAATCGGACGGTTCAGATCGAGGAGAGCGAAGAGTCCGTGCGGCTGAGATCTGTTTGGGACCCACAGCGCGTCACATCATCAGCTCGTCGCATGCAAGCGGTTAAGATCTGTGAGTTGTACGGTCGAGATTCACGCAGAAAAATCGGATTCTTTGCGATCTCTTCAGCAGTTAATGCTGAATATAAACTCGACCCACTACTCTTCTCTTTAACCGTGCCCACGTTTTTGAAAAGGTAACTTCTCCTCTCTCTTTTACTTATTTATTTGCTCTTCGAGTTTTAGATTAGATAACTCCAAGTTCTTGAAAATTATCGAACCTTTGCAAACTTTCGAGCGTTTTAGGTTGTTTCGATTTCGAATTTCTCCAAAAACTCCTTTCAACCTCTTTTTCCTCCGTCTCTCCTCCGACTACATGCCTCCGAAGACGAATCGTCAAGCAAGAGAAGGGAAAGGCCGTCGACCTCGGCGGTGACGGGAAGTTCACGCCGCACGCCGAGACGACGCTCGACGCCGAAACCTCGACACTTCCGGCAGGATTTCGGGATCCCGGATGAGATCGAACTCGTTCTCCGGCTGAGGGAGAGGACCCGGAGCATGTTCGTCCGGGGTTTTGCTGCGCCTATACGTCGTATTGGCGGAGCGCCGGGATGATTTTCCCGGTCCCTCGTTTTCTGATGGAAGCGCTCGCTCATTATAAGATGGCGTTTCCACAGATGCACCCGAGCTTCGTCCGCCACGTGATAGGATGTGCGGTTCGAGCTCGGGAAGAGGGCGTCTCGTTCGGTGTTCGAGATCTGAGAAAGCTTTTCTCGGTGAAGAACAACACCAGGCTTCCCGGGTCGTTTTACTCCTCGCCGAGGCCGAATCGGCGAATATTCACGAACACCCCGCAGAGGGATAGCGGGTGGAGTGACGAGATGTTCTTCTTCCGGGTCAGCGAGGCCACGATGGGCGACTTCGACTTTGGTCGAATCCGAACGGAGTGGGCGACTAGCGTTGGTTAGCTTAGGCCGATTTCCGTTTAGGATAGCGATACCTCGCTTGACTTATGGAATACCTCGTTTATTGATGATTTTTTTTGTGTTTTGCAGTTGTAGATCCAGTACCAACAACCCGGGGATTGATTACCTCGTCGAGCGACTCGGAAGGGAAAAGGTGAACTGGAGTACTTTTACTCCGGAACGGATCCGTCGAGTTCTCAGCTCTCCTCCTGCTCCTCCTCCAGGTAATAATCTCCCTTGACCAACTAGAAATTCATTTTACGAACTCTTTATAACGAGCTGTTTATATAAATTTTCCAGCTGATCTTCCGGTTAGATCGGCGCAAGATTCTAGCTCCGCTTCTTCTGTTCCTCCTCTCTCACGCAGATCGAGAATGACCCGTCGTCAGCCTCTCAGATCCCGGACCGCAAAGGGTGCCAAGGGCTTCCTCGGGTGGAAGTCGAGTTCGTGCCGGCGAGTTCGTAACGGCGGTGGAGGAGGCTATGGCTTCGAAGCCCACGGCGGGGTCTTCTGCCCTTGCCGACCAGGTGGTTGACCAGGTCGACGCGACCGCTGAAGGAGAGGTCGTTCCTCTCCCGAGTACGGTTCATGTGAGCTCCGATCGGACTCGGAGTTCGGATCAAGGTCACTCGAGGCAGGCGCCGAAGCGAGCTCGGAGTGACGATGGAGAGACTCGTTCTCGCGAGGGCGGCCCGACTGCCTCGAACGGGAGCGGGGGAAAGCCGCCGTTTTACTGGCAGTACGAGAACTCCAAAGGCTTCCCCGTTCAGGACGACGAGGAGGGAACAGCTCGCATTCAGCTCCACTTCAAGCCCGTCGGATGCCGGCTCCCGTCCCTGAACCAGATGTCTGAGAAGGAGCTCTACATCGCGACGTGCGCTGCGAGCGGGAGGGTATGAACTGTTTCCCTAGTCAAAACTTTAGACGAGAGTCTTTGTTGTTGTTTTGGCCTTGGTTGAATTTTTTGTTTTTGTTAGGCTGTGGCAGCTCGTAACATGTTGGTGTCCCGCCTGGAGTCGAGGATCAGAGACGCGCCTCAGCAGAAAGAGCTCGATCAGGTGAAGGAGCTCGTTGCCAAGTTGACCTCCGATCTCTCTGCGGCGAACGAGCGGGTAGCTCGTCAGGGTGAGCTCTTGAAGAAACACACCTCGCAGGAGGGTCGTGTGAAAGAGCTCGAGACCAGGGAGGCCGATCTCTTGCGCCAGCTGTCCCAGAATCAGGAGCAGATGGCGGCTTTGCAGAAGGAGAGCTCGAGTGCGCTGACGCAGTCGCTTCGCCTTAGCCGGGAGAACCAGGTACTCGTCGCCGAGAAGGACAACGTAGCTCGCCGTGCCAACCGCGCAGGTCGGAGGGAGATGGTCGCGAAGCATCGGGAAGTGCTTGAATCGGCTAAGGCAAAGTTCGAGGAGAAGAGGGTGGAAGGTGAGAAGGAGGGCGATCAGATCGAACTCCAATCCAACATCGATCTCCTTACGTCGCTGATCTCCGGTGCGATCAACCAGGAGGAAGAGCTCGCCAGGTTGAAGGGGCTCGAGGATGAGGTGGCCGAAGCAGCCAAGGCGGCCCAAGTCTCCGATTTCTCGATCGGGAAGTTAACCTTCCCGTGGTTTCGGAGGACTCGGTCGCGCGCATGGAGATCGACCCATCGACGAGCATCCCGGTTGGCTTGAACCCGTTCGGGACGAATGCCGAAGAGAAGGGAAGCAACGAGGAGGAAGAGAAGGAAGATGAAGAGATGACCGTCGAGGACTGAGCTCTTGGTCGACCTCTTTCTATCTCTACTCCTTTTTCAATTTATTTTAAGACTTGGTTGCCCGGCGGGGTTTTTACGCTTTATGTTTCGGATTTGGTGCCTGGGAAGGCTTTTATCCACAAACTCGTTTGCCCGCGGGGGCTTTTAATGTTTTGGCCTTAGGCGTTTTGCCTTAGGCGTTTTGCTCAAATTGTTTTGCAACTTTCATTTTAGCTCGCGTTTTACTTGCCAAAATGTTTTGAGGCTTTTTGACTAAGTGTTTTGGCCGGTCGAGAGACCAGGGCCAAGATGTACTTTAGTCGGAGGTCGAATCGATCCGTTTAGGTTGATTCAACACTTAGAATATTTTTACTAGTTTTGGCCGATCGTGTGTCGAGCTAAACGTAGTTTTAGGTCGAATCGAGTCCGACTCGGGACGATTAGATCGATTCAACACTTAGGCGAATTTTACTAGTTTTGGCTGATCGCGTGGAACGAGCTAAACATAGTTTTAGGTCGAATCAAGTCCAATTCGGGACGATTAGATCGATTCAACACTTAGGCGAATTTTACCGATTTTCGTCGATCGCACGGATCGAGCTAAACGTGGTGTTTATTCTTTTTCGAGCTCTTTGGCGAACTGATGTAGCTCGCGCTTTGCGGAGTTGTTTTCCCGTCTTTCGATCGAGGTGTTTCTTATTCGGCTTTTGGAGATGGAATTTATTACCTTTCGAAGTTCGTCTTGGTTTTGTCGCTTCGCCGATAGTGTTCCGAGCTAATCGTGAACTTCAGGTCCGTCTGGATGGCTCGGCTTCGTGTTAGATTTCGGGCTGTCTCTGGGTCTTCGGTTCTACGATTGCTAGAACACTACGCTGGATGCTTGGACGCTGCGGACTTCGATTGGTTTTTGCGAAGTAAGAAATTGAAGGTAAAGAGGTGGACTCTGAACCTCACTTCGTTCGAAAGGGGAATATCGAGGTGATCTCGATCTTCCGATCTGTTTTGAGACGAGAGAAAGAGCTCGATTTCTTTTCAGGTCACGCAAGATCAGGCGTTTTCGACGTAAATTGATACGCTTAAGTAATTCGGAATTTTCGAGCAATTCGTAGCGATAAACATAGAAAACATTTTATTTAAGTATAATATTCGAGATGATACAAATCGAGCCCGTTTTAGGGCCGGCCAATGAGGTCGTCTCAAATAAAACGAAGTAAATTCGGATTGGGGCTGGACTCGTGGTTGAGCTGCCTACGTACCCCCAGGGAAGGAGGATCAAGCCTAAACGTAGTTCGAGGGGTGGAGATACTCAGATTAGATCCTTTTCAGTGATAGTACCTTTTCAGGTTCATCGCATTCCAAGGTCTTAGTTCAGGTATTCCGTTTCTGACTTTTGTGAGCTTGTAGACGCCATCGCGAACTACTTCGGTAATGAGGTAGGGACCTTCCCAATTGGTCCCAAGTTTCCCTGCACCGCTCTTTGGTATAGTCTTGTACTTTTCTCAGAACCATGTCGCCTATACGAAATCCGGTGTTTAACCTTGGAGTTGTAATAGCGAGCTGCGGCCTGTTGATAGTTTTGTATCCGGATCAGAGCTTGATCTCGACGTTCGTCGATAAGGTCAAGGTGATCTCTCAACATTTCTTCGTTCAGCTCGACGTTCGCTGGACATTGCATCCTGCGAAGACTTGGAACGGAAGTTTCAGTTGGGATGACGGCCTCTAGCCCGTAAGCTAATGAGAACGGGGTCTCATGAGTAGCTTTGTGAGGTGTAGTTCGGCAAGCCCAAAGAACTGCTGCGAGCTCTTCGGACCACCTATGTTTACGGGCGTCGAGTCGTTTCTTGAGGTTACTCAAGAGGGTTTTGTTTGTTGCTTCAGCTTGCCCGTTCCCTTGAGGGTAACGAGGTGTGGAATACGTTATGCGTATGTTCCACTTCTTGCAGAAGTCTTTGAATGTTCGAGCTATGAACTGAGATCCGTTATCTGTCACGATCTCGAAAGGGAGCCCGTGTCGACAAATGATGTCTTTCCAGATAAATTTCCGGACCTCGAGTTCGGTCGTTTGTTGGTATGGTTTGGCCTCGATCCATTTAGTGAAGTAGTCAGTAAGGACTAGTAGGTATTGGAATTGCTTTCGGTCCCGAAGAGACCATAGGTCCTATTATGTCCATAGACCACCTCATAAAAGGATAAGGTGAAGAGATCGATGAGAGTGTTTCAGCTGGGACGTGAATGCTTGGGGCGTGCCTTTGGCATTTGTCACATCGCCTGGAGTACTGTTCGCAGTCTCTGATCATCGTCGGCCAGAAGTAGCCTAGCTTTTTAATCCGTATGACGAGAGCTCGGCCTGCGGAATGACTTCCGCAAGGTCCTTGATGAGTCTCGTGCATTACGGTGTAAGCTTCTTCGCCATGGATGCATGTTAGATATGGTTCGATAAGGCTTCGCTTGTAGAGCTTATCTTCCATCATGCAATAATGTGCGCTTTGGGCTTTTAGCTTGCGAGATGCCCATTTTTCGTTAGGGACGGCTCCGAGCTGGATATACTCGATATAGGGAGTTCTCCAGTCGGGTCTCGCAGCGAACTCTTCCTTTAAGGTGAGTTCGTTCGCCATAGCAGATGGGACGGTATGGATCGTGGACTCTTGCGTATTTTGCGAAGAGTCCGAATCGATATACCTTGTTTTTTGCCTATCTTGGTCAGGTTCTTCTTCCTCGGAATCAGGTTCCGGGTTAGATGGTCCCGGATCTTGGGACTGTCTAGTTTGAGAACGAGTAGACGGGCGCGAGGTAATTGCGTTTATACTGTCAGACTTGAGTGCGATGTCGATGCTAGGTTTATCTATGCCTTCGACTGGGATCACACGTCTTACAGTTGGGTCCGAAGTGGAGGCGAGAGCAGCTAAGGCGTCAGCCGAAGTGTTCTCTCCCCTAGGCACCCTAGTTAGTTCGAATTTACTGAATTGTCCAGCTAAATCTCGAACTACTTTGAGATAAGCTTCCATGCGCTCCTCTTTTGCTTCGTACTCGCCGCTGTATTGGCTAGTAACGAGCTGGGAGTCGCTGAATGCGTTGATCTCATTCACGCCGATCCCGATTGCGAGTCGGAGTCCGGCTATGAGTGCCTCGTATTCGGCCTCATTGTTAGAGGCGACGAATCCGAGTCTGAACGATTGTTCGATCACTTCTCCGGTTGGAGATGTGAGTTTGATTCCGACGCCAGCTCCTTGTTTGGACGAGGCTCCATCTACGAAGAGTGTCCAAACTTTAGAGAGGGTGGTATCGTTATTGGCTTCCGGTGCCAGCTCGATCATGAAATCAGCTAGTACCTGGGCTTTAGCACAGGTTCTAGTTCGATATTCGATGTCGTATTCGCTGAGCTCGATAGCCCATTTAGCTAGTCGTCCAGATTGACTTGGACTATGTAGCATAGTTCGCAATGGTTGCGAGGTCATCACCACGATTGTGTGTGATTGAAAGTAAGGTCGCAGCTTGCGAGCGGACATTACTATTGCTAAGGCAAGTTTTTCCATAGCTGGGTATCTAGTCTCGGCATCAATCAGGGATTTACTTACGTAAAAGATTGGTCTTTGTTCGTTTAGCTCTTCACGAACTAAGACCCCGCTGACCGCTGCAGGCGAGACCGCGATGTAAAGGTATAGCGGTTCTCCTTCTACTGGTTTTGCCAGTATAGGAGGTTCGCTGAGGTAAGTTTTGAGCTGTTTGAAAGCTTCTTCGCATTTTTCGTCCCAGAGGAATTTTTTATTTCCTCGGAGGAGCTGGTAAAATGGAAGACACTTGTCGGTTGACCGGGAAATGAACCTATTAAGGGCTGCTATTCGACCGGTTAACCGTTGTACTTCTCTAGTATTTTCTGGAGAAGGCATATCTAAGAGGGCAGAGATTTGCTTCGGGTTCGCCTCGATTCCGCGTTCAGTTACTAGGTAACCGAGGAACTCGCCAGACGGAACTCCGAATGTACACTTAGTCGGGTTCAGCTTCATGCCGTACTTGTTAAGTATGGAGAAGCATACCCGGAGCTGTGCGACGTGGTCTGTTTCCCTAGAGGATTTGACCAGCATATCGTCTATGTACACCTCCATTGTTTTACCGAGCTGATCGGCAAACATTTTGTTTACGAGGCGCTGATATGTAGCTCCCGCGTTTTTTAGCCCGAATGGCATTACTTTGTAGCAGTAAGTACCTCGGTCTGTTATGAAAGCTGTTTTCTCCTGATCTTCTGGGTTCATCTTGATTTGATTATACCCAGAAAACGCATCCATGAAGGATAGGAGCTGGTGACCAGCCGTAGCTTCGACCAAGCGATCTATATGAGGAAGTGGATAGCTGTCTTTTGGACAAGCTTTATTAAGGTCTGTGAAATCGATACAGACTCTCCACTTTCCGTTTTTCTTTTTGACAACTACAGGATTAGCTAGCCAGTCGGGGTATTTCACCTCTCTGATCGAGCCTACCTTGAGTAGTCGGTCTACTTCGTCGTTTACTGCTTTAGCCCGATCTGGGCCGAGTTTTCGACGTTTTTGTTTCATGGGTTTGAACGTGGGATCTACGTTCAGCTCGTGAGACGTGATCCTAGTGTCAATCCCGGGCATGTCCGCGGTGGACCATGCGAATGTGCTGATGTTTTCCTTTAGGAAGGCGATCAGCTCGTCACGGATAGGTTTTGCGAGATCGATTCCGATACCAACGCGCCTTTCGGGGTCGGTTTCGTCGATGCAAACCTGAGTGACCAAGTCTTTTCGAGGTTCGCGGACGGTCGGATCTTTGCCATGTTTGATCTGCCGAATCGCGAGCTCCTCTTCTTTCTGTAATTGCTATACTGGCGATTTTTCAGCTCGCAAGTAGCTGCCCATATAGCAATCTCGGGAAGCTCGTTGGCAACCGCGAATTGTTTTTGTTCCCCAAGGTGTAGGGAACTTGACGCAGGTGTAGTGGTAATGGTGTAGAGCCACGGCCTGCCGAGAATGGCATTGAATGGCGCGGGGCGATCTACGACCACAAAGTCAACTGTTTTCGTTATACCACCTGCTTTGATTGGGAGCTGGATAGTTCCCATGGAATAGGTCGTTTCTCCTGCGAACCCAGTTAGGGGCGTACGGCCTCCTATGAGTGCGGAGTTTTCGAATCCCATTCGCTTGAAAGCATCGTAGAACAGCACGTCTACAGAGCTTCCTGTGTCTATCATGACTCTGGTCAGCTCGAATCCGGCTACGGCGAGCTCGATTACGAGTGCATCGTCATGAGGTTTATCGAGTGCGAGTGTTTCGCTTTCTCGAAATTTGATTA